TTGGAAAATTTTGACCAAAAAATTGCGGTTTTTCGGCGAGCAACCCCCCCTCGAAATAAGTATATATTCGCGCCCAAGACGCCTTTAGCAATATTTCAGGGTCAGTCACCAAAAATGGATATCTTAAAATAGTACGAAGGGGGGACCCTTTGGCTCGGCACGGGGTCAAATCCCTAAATCCGCTCCTGTCCTTGCCTTCAAAATGCTTCAAACCAAAATTTGGTTCATGATATCAATTTTCTAAAGCTTTTTAGTGTTTTTTAGATCATGTTTTTGTCATACTGGTCGGTTTTTTTTAATCAAACAATAATATAACTATTAGGTAAATGTGAGAGTTATATATTCATTAATAGTTCAACAGCCCCAAAGTTTTTGTTACCTGTTAGGTACTAGTTCAATTAAGTTTATTAAAATTTTACTATTTGAGACCAAACAGAAGATCGAGTAAAAATTTAAAAAGCAACTTAAAACAATGCGTCAAGTTACGTTTTGATTGAAAAAAGTAAACATACATAATTAGCAGATGGTGATGCTGACGCTGAAAAGTGCAGCGGATGATTCACATCGTTTAGGTATCAAACACAGAGGCGAAGCTTCTTTTAACTGCCAATTTTATGCAGCAAAAATTCACCTTTTCCTACATCCATGAAAATTTCTCTTATAAAGCATAAGAAGCGCCTCTGCTTTCCGCACCATGATTTCTAGATTGAAGATTTCCACATCTTGATTTTGTAGATGCAGTCTTTAAAATCCGATTTTGCAAGTAGTTTTCAAGAGAAGTGACGAAATTTTTTAAAAAAGTTTAAAAGTTCAAAAACGAATTTTTCTGAACTCCACAACAGATTTTTATTTTGAAAAACAGGTAAAGCAGATTACGCAGCGGAAATCTAAGCGACATGTTAACTTTATTGAACTATCAACCTCAGGTTCAACGTGTTAGTTTTTGAAAACAAAAATAATTTTCGGAAAAACGGGCAAAATTTCAAAAATTGGACATTTTCTAAGGCCATACTCCATACTTTTTTAAAAGGCAGAGCATAGCCGCTTGCCAAAGTAAGATTTGCATTACTGGTTTTAATTTTCAGCTAAACCCCTAATCTCCAACTTTGCAGCGTAGTTTTTGAAAAAAAAAGTTTTAAAAATGAACAAAAAAGGGCTTGTTTGAGGCCATAACTTTTTCTACCGAATTTAGGTAATAGAGTAGCGGAGAAAAGGGGATATCCTATAACTTCTTCTTTTTATTGTAACCTTCAACTCTGATTTGTGCATTCAATGTTTGAGAAACTGAAAAAATCAAAAGAAGTAGGCCAAAAATAACCCGTACTGAAAATTTCGACGGCTGTAGTACGTGAGGTAAAATCAAAACGATTAGCGAATCATTTCACAAAGAACGGCAGCCAGTTTTTCCATTGATACAATTTTTTTTAAAATCGGCCCAGTTGTGTTTGAGAAAATTTGAAATTTGCTGAAAGTGCACAAAAAATTCCAAATTGTTCCAAAAACAAACGAACAACAAATCCCATAAATTTTCATAATACAAGTTTATTCAAATGGGACCTACACTAGCCAAAACCAAAGCAGCAACATATTCCATCAATTAATCACGCTTAGATAAGCCTAAATAAGATTAAAATCAAATATACCAAAAGTGCCATCAACTGAGCATTTTAATTTGCAACTTGGGTTGGAAAAAAAGGAAGGTTCGCACTAATTCACTCGCTTCGCAAGTGTATAAACAGGAAGACTGAAAAATACGATAAATTATTTTTTCACCGCAGTTGAAGGAAATCAACGCAATATTTGCAAACGGCAGAAAAAACCTGATAAATAGTTGAAATTGAATACACTCATTCATTCATTAAAAATTGCTTGAAATTTCTATCAAGGAAAGAATAATTTTGTATCAACTAGTTTTTCCTATAGATAAAACAAGCGAGGACGCTCAAAAACGCCAAATTTTGCAACTTTTCTGTGCTATTTTCAATGAAATTGAGGGGAAATATTTTTATTAGCATGGTTGAAGTTTCACAAAAAAAAATTAAAAAAAAAATCAACTGAAAATTTCTTGTTTAAAAATTGTTAACTTTGCTTAGAAATAGAAATATGAACCCCTCGCGCAGGACCTATGATCTTCTAATGACGGTGCAAGTGATTCAAATGAATGTGCCGAATCAGACACTGCATTTCAATAGATTATAAATCAAGCTATTATCAAGCTATCGAATGATTTAGAAACTAAATGATTATAACTGATTATATAACAAGCAATCAAGTTGTCCAGTGAAAAGATGGATGCCCAACAAGGTTCCCGTAGTCAAAGCGCTAATTGCAGCCGTTATATAGAGATCATGATTACCTATATAAGTTGAAGCTGCACTGCGCAAACAAAAGCGAGGAAACATCAAACAAAGTAAGGAAAAAATATAAAACATGAGCTTTGAAAAAAAGAAATTGCCATCTACCGGAAACAAACCTCCGATCTGGAGGTTCTGAGATTAATTTCTTCCCATGTTTGCCATTTGCCATTAAGACACGCAGTCTCACCAACAACCAATTAGCACATGCTAGTAAAATCACGGCTACTAAGGGAAGGATGTTTCGTTCCTATTCCCACGGCAGACCTGACTGTGTTACTATGTTAAGCAGCAAAAATGAACTTTTTAGACTTAGTTGTCTGTGTTGGGTTAAACGGATTCGGTTTATAACACTACATTCAATAATTTGCTTGTGCATTAATAAAAAATATAGGACACATTTCAATTTTTTTTTATTTTAGCTTATAATATAATTTTTTGAAGATCATTATGCTCAACAATTATCTAAATGAATTGAATCAAGTAAAAGTCCGTGCAGATTTTCATACTATCATACAAGCGCAGATCTAGGAATTTCTCGAGAGCAGCGGGTTTTCAAAAAATTTTTTGGAAACTTTGTCGACCTTTTTTTTAGGTCGACCAAATTGGTTTTCTGAGCTCTCTCAAACAACCAAACCAGTATAAAGACCCTAATTTAACCAAACTTTCTGCGCCGCAGACAAATTTTTGGAACAATATCGAAAAAAGGTGTTTTTAGGCACTTTTTGGAAAATTTCGACCAAAAATTTGTATTTTTTTGGGGCGCGCTCCCCCTCAAAATTATAATAGATTAGCGCCAAAGGCGCCTTTAGAACGTCAGTCAGCTAAAAATGGATATCTCAAAATAGTACAAAGGTGGACCCTTTGGGTCGGCAGGGGGTGGACTCCCTGAGATCCCTAAATCCGCTACTGCTATCATAATTGAATCCGTGGATTAACATTATTTAAATTTGATTGACTTCATAAATAGGAATTAATCATAATATACTGGAGATTTATCTGCAAAAATACAAATTTCCTATTATCATCGTAAATATTTTTTGTGTACTTGGAAATAAAAAATTCGTAGCTACGCGGATGATCCAAGTAAATTAAAACCATCAGTTTATGCAAATAGAGGCAATAGTAGGCCGATCTAAGTTATGCTAAAAACTGTTCCGCAAAAAAATGATTTTGACAGTGCTTTATCCAGTGCTTTTGACAAATTTTTTACCGACACAGAACTTTTATCGAAAAAGATCGGTTAAAAGTCACATTTCCGGATCGACTTAGGATCGACTCAATACAAACTCGGGTGCTATTTTACTGTATTTATTTATAGGGGTGGAATTTCTTGAGATACCACAGGGGATGCGATTGTTAAGTAGATCTGAGTTTCTAATTGATTACTGGAAATATATTTTGCCATTGCTTGTATAGGAATTATAATTTTTTCATGGCCTCACTTTTTTTAAAGTTTAATCGAAAACTCGCGACGATTTGATCAAACAACGTTTTGATACCTCAAAGACATCTTGCTGAACTATATATCCCATAAAATATCAATTACAGGGACACATATCAGGACCTACTAAACAATCTCCACCCTTTCAAGAAAAAGGGGGGGGGGAGATTGTTAAGTAGATTATAATGGTCGATTTTTCCACCAATCAGAATGCAGCAAAATTAGAGTTCTCAATAGAAAGCTCAGTGCTAATTTGCTGTATTTATTTATAGGGGTGGAGTTTCTTAAGTAGGTACCATAAGGAGGCAGATTATTAAGTAGACCCAAATATCAAGCACAGGGACTTCAAAAAGCCAATAATATCAAAAATCCGATAATCCAAAAAAGCGATTTAAAAAAAGAAAACCCTTTAGTACAATAAAAACCAGGCGCGTATCTAGGAATTTCTCGAGAGGGGGGGGGGGGGGGTGAAATTCGGGGCGGATTTTCAAAGTTTTGTCGATTTTTTTTAGGTTGACCAGATTGTGTTTCTGAGCTCTCCCAAACAACTATAAAGATCTTTAATTGACGAAATTTTCTGAGCCGCAGGCAAATTTTAAAAAACCAAAAAAAAAAGTTTTTAGGCACTTTTTGGAAAATTTCGACCAAAAAATCGCGTTTTTTCGGCCCGCGCTCCCCCCTCAAAACTAGTATAGATTGGCGCCAAAGGCGCATTTAGAAAAACTTTAAGGTCAGTCAGCCATAAACGGATATCTCAAAATAGTACAAAGGGGGACCCTTTGGGTAGGCAGAGGTTCGAATCTCTGCAGGGGGCATCCGCTCCCACCCCCCTAAATCCGCTACTGCTAAAAACGTCTGCTCAAAAAATGCAAGGAAATCGAAGAATCTGACAAATTAGTCGCCACACATGCAACTTAAAACTTGAGTTTAGGAGATTCAGATAAACCATCAACTTATACAGCACTTGCTCAAAACATCAATTTAAGAAAAATAAATTGAGATAAGGCACTTCTATCTATATCATAGCCACAAAAACAAGAGTTGGGACAAACACAATTCAAAGCAGCAATATTTATTTTACAAAAAAGGAAAATTTACAGGAAAGTCAACTGACAGGTTAAGATCTGAATACTGAATCTGCTAATTTACTTAATCATATGTTAAAACTCGAGATGACAAACAGTTTGAAAGTTTCAGTAATTCAGAAAATAACAATAAATTTCGAGTTTTTATCCTATCTTAACAACAGAATAAGTAGAATATTTAAACTAAAAGAAACGAATCAAATCAAAATGATTTGATAAAACAGGCGGACAATAGGCCAACTATCAGAGTTTAATTAACAATAATTTAATTATTTATAAGAGTGATAAATAGTTTTTTTTTCTACTTTTCTTTCTTTAGTCTTCTCGGAAAAGTTCTAGGTTCTGATATGAACAGAACTTAGTGATCACGTCTACCAAATTGAACAGCTCTTCTGCAACTGCATACTTTCCGAACGAGGGTCGATCAGCGACGTTGAACTTCCAACACTTTTTCATGAACTTATAAATAGCGTCCGGGGGTAGTCTCGCGTTTTCAGATTGGGTCCCAGTCCATGCGGATCCTGCTTTGGCTCCATTTTGGGCAACACTTTTCCGTCCAACACGTACTGGATGACATCTTCATTGCTGATTCCACAGTAGGGTTTCATGCCCAGAGAGTATATCTCCCACACGACTACTCCGAACTGCCAGACATCTGATTGAGGCAGTATTTGACCTCACTCAACATCCCTGGAGGCAGCCAGCGCAGAGGCAAGTCTGAGTCGTCATTCACTCTACACAAACATCGCTACCACCAATCACATCACGATTTGATGATATAATAAAACAGGTGGCATATTCACGCGAAATAGCTGGATCGCTCGTTGTTAGATTTCAAGCACTATTTATAGCTTTAATTCGAGCACTATTTAATACAGTATTCTGCCAGATAAAAAGTCAAATTATTTGCAAGAAAGAGTAAATTTCAATTTTTTGAATACAACTCTATCAATCTGACAGAAAATTGTATTCGATAAAAAAGTATCTTAGCAGAATATAAAACTGACTGAAAATGAAAATGACTTGATTCGTATTTTAAATTATTTTTGAAAATTTAATAGTTATTAATAGTTTCATCTTTCACCACGCAAATTGTGTTAATGTCTATGCCGAAACTTTCCTCCAATTTTGATTTTTCAAAATTTCCCAGGCCAAAACAGACGAAGATGATACTTACGGCTTTTTACACTATAAAATATTTGTCCGAAGATAAGATTATAGTTCAAAAGACAAACATTACTAGAGGGAAGGCGGTAAGCTTTAGATTCCTGGCACTGCTTTTTGCGCGTTCAGATGAGTACCTTTTTTCAGCAAAAGGAGCAGTTTTAGGTTACTTAACTTTGCTCAGATTCGTTCGCTGAAAAGAATATTCCAAAAATTTGGCATTTACTAGAACAAACAACCAATGAGATACTCACTGGATAAAGTCATCCAGAGACTCGAGCTGTTCCGCAAACCCAAAATCACCCAACTTGACTGTAACCGCATTTGCCAACAGACAATTCCTAGTGGCCAGATCCCTATGGACAATTAGTCCCTCACTCAAGTGGTTCATCCCATTCCAGATCTGCTGGCTGAAGCTGTGCAATCTGTACAGGGAGAGGGATTCATTGTCTCTCTGTTTCTGTCTCAGGAAGGAGTTCAAGTTCCCCATAGATAGATACTCGATTAGAATCTGGAACGGGGCTGCTCGACTTGTGCTCACTACGCCGACCAGCTTGGCGATCTGAAAAAATGGCGAAATAGTTAATATCACTTTCATTGTGCACCGTTTCAAAATTACTGTTAGATCTAAGTCGGGTAATAATACACAAATCGACAAACTATCCTACTAGCGCAAATTTTGATTTTTTAACTGAGATTTGGAGCAGCATAATTTATTACTCAATATTCGCATATTGATAACTCGCCAAAGTTGAAGCTTTCAAAAAGACTTTTCGTGCAATCTATAGAATCTTTTTTCCGCAAAAACACAGATGGTTTTAATTGCTGTTTTTAAAGCGAGTTACTCACATGCGAAATGACCAACATACCAGCTTTACGGCTCATTACGGCGAACCACTGTTGTGCCCCTGCTTAAAAACTACATGCAATTTTTTGGTTATTTTTCTGGGCTGGGTAAATTTGCTTCACCCTCAAGCAACGAGCACGGATCATGGTGGGCCTCGAACATCCGACCTTTCGATTGAGAGGCGGAGACGTAACCACTTCACTCCCGCTTCCTATGACCTCAAAGCTCTTTGAATTCGAAGATCAAGTGAAACTCTTTTGATAAAAGTAACCCATCTTGAGAAAATTGGTTCATAAGATAAATTTTTATTCCGCTGGGAAATTCAGAACTAAATCAAAACTAGGTGCTAGGTGTTTTAGCAGATCGGTTTTTTAGCAGACCAGTTTTTTTTAGCGCACTCATAACAATTAACGCTAATTTCGAACGCGGCATTGACAAAGTAGCAACCGATTGCTCCGCTACGCTACATTCGGCACGAGATATTGGTCGCGTGAATCTGTGTTTCCAGTTTCCCACCACCTTGTAAAATTAAACTGTTCGAAAATTGTTCACACGGTGATAAAATGTTACTTTGTTGTAGCTAATTCTAAGTTAAAACTATTAAAAAGAATAAGAATTAAGATGAATTAGTTGGTAAGTTAAAACATTAAAACAATGAGAGATCATTCTCTCCGCCGGAGAGAATGGCTAGTGAAGGTCATAACTAAGTGACCGGTTAATTAAATAAGTATGTTTAGCAATAATTGCAAAACCTGATGTAAAATCACAACATTCCCCTAAGCAGGAAAAAAATTTAAATTGCAATAAGTAATGCACAATAACTAAATATGACTGACTCCTTTCTCCCCCTTTAAGGACGAGGAAAGAAAATTAAAGCGCCTTAAGATGAGGTACTAACACTAAGTAAGCTCCACTAGTGTTAAATGAAAGAACAAAGATTATCCAGATTCCGATGGATAAGGGTTATGTTAAGATGAGATAAAGGCATCACGTTTTGGCATAACGCTGAAATTTAGAACCACGTTTTATGAGTGAGGTCATAGTTTATAATGCGCGAGTGAAGAGGATATGATTTAAAGAAATTATGGGAGCAACAGATGATAATTTCTTTTAAAGGGTGAAATTTATCCGAAGGATAAAGTTGTCAAATTTAGCAAACACGTTTTGGTAACTGGAAAATTAGCACCGGTTTACAAGGTAAAATACGTAGATAGCACAAAATGTTGATGGAGGTGGTCTTGGTTTGTAAAACACAAACTGGAGTGGAGGCGAATTAAGGAAATTAGGAGGACACTTGAAGATGTCTTCTACATGAAAATTTATCCGCAGGATTAAGTTCTCAAGTTTAGTGAGCAGATGTTAATATCTGAATGTTAGCACCGGTTTACTCAGTAATGTGTGTTATTTGGTAAGCCGGAATATCAGATTAAAGTATATCTAAGTGGTTATAAAGTTTTATAATTTTTTAAAAAGTTCTCAAGTTCGGTGTTGAAAAGTTCACTATCAAGATCAGAGTGGTCGCCGAAATTTGCTATTTCCATTCTCAGTGATTCGTCGGTTGATGAGTTTGACATTTGATCTGATGAAGATGATGAATCTGAATCTAGAACAATTAACTCCGCCGGATTCGTCTTGTTGATAGTCTCATGTGGTTCCTCAATCTCTAACACAATAGGCTCGGCCGCCGAACCAGAGGCTTCTTGGACACTCTCTACGGCATCAATGAAGTAACGTTGACCATAAAATTTTGATGGGCCGACATTTCTACTAGAGCGGCGAATAGTAGCAGGAATTTTACCGGGTATTATGGCAGGACTGTTGGATATAGCGCACTCATCCGTTGAGTCGCTTATCTCATACACCGGAAAGTCTATGTTTGAGTCGGTCTCCGTCGGATTATGCTCCACTTGTAGGTCATTTTGTCCAATGGTGTCATTTTCCCCTCCCTGATTCACGGTTCTCTGATCCGCCGAGTTAGATGTTCGGCTGGCTGGCACTATACTTATTGGGCACTCATATGATTGATCCATGGGTTGTTCACTGATTGGGAAACTGTCGTTTTCTAAAATCTCAGATTTTATTTCAGGATTGGTTATAGAAGAGTTAAAGTTATTTCCGAGTGATATGTGAGGTGTAAGTGAATCCGAAATAAAGCGCTCTCTGGCTACGTCTCTACAAGGAAAACCGCCCGCTATCCATTCCCATTCACTAGTATCCGAAATATCCGAAGGAATTAGCATAGATTCATCCGAAGCAAGGTAACCTGGAGGAGTTGGTGGCTTCTTTGAGCGTCGTGTCTGTCTTCTTGTCGGGATGGATGATGATCCAGAAATGCGTGTCCTAGTTAGGTTGTCGGATGATGTCGGGTCTAATTGTCTGTTCCTTCTTTTTGTTGGCTTCTTGGGTTTTGGTTTTCTTTTTGAGCATTCCAGTTTTTGACCTACTTCAACATTAGGGTTAGAAAAGTAAGGGAATGAAATGTTTCCTCTAAAAGGTCTGATTTTATTTGAGGTAGAGATAGGAATCGCAATGTCGGATTTTCGTATTATTTTTCCGTCGGATAACTTAACTGTCGAAGTCGAAGAATTTATAATTCTTTTGTTTAGTTCTTTATAAAAACAGTCTCGGTTGATATTACCATTAGTTTTCCGAAGGATTTTACCTTTAAAAGGGCTTTCGATTGGTATTCTGTTTTGAGTCGTTTTCGAGGATGAGGCATAGTCTGTATCGTAGCCTTTTTCAGTCGGATTTTGGTTCTTCTTCGCAATCAAATCGTCCTTGTATCCGTCCTCGATTCTATCATCCGCGTTCCAATCCTTAGCTCGATCCTTAGACAGTATTGATTTCCCTTTGTCTAAAATTCCAAAGGAAGGTTTACCCGAAGCTAATTGTTTCCAAATAGTATTTGGTTTTCTGTTATAGTGGATCTCGAAAGGTGAGCATTTAATTTTTGATTGGAAAGTAGAACGTAGGTTCCAAATGATTTTTGAAACGGCATTTTGCAATGTGGTTTTATGATGTTCTTTAGAGATAGCCAGTAGTTTGACTTTTACAGTGTGTACGAGTTTTTCGACTAATCCGTTGGATCGGTGATCGCCTACTGTACAAAAGATTATTTTGATGTTGTTAGAATCGCAGAATGATTTGAAGTCTTGACTTGTAAAGCAAGTAGCATGATCCACCCTTATAGAATAAGGTATACCGTGTAAGAATATGTAGTCTTGTAAAAATTCTATAACTGTTTTTGAAGAGGTAGATGTAATTTTTGCCGACGGAAATTTAGAAAATCTGTCAATACAAAGTAAAATGTATTTATTTGACCCCCAATAAGAATCCAAAGGACCCGCGAAGTCTAAATTAAGTTCTTCATTTGGTTCTGATAATGGAGGAAGTTCACTAATTTGTGAATTAGGGATAACAGATTTTATATTCTTACCCGCCGATGTACACTCTGAGCAATTAATTCCATGAAAGTAGATTTGTTGTGTTGGGCCAAATATTTCATTCCGAATTGACCTGGATGTGTTTCGTGGAGGGTCTTCATCATCGCGTTTCGTAGAGTAAATGGAATAACGAGTTTGCCGTCCATGTAAAGTAATCCATCGGATTCGTGAAGGTCTCGGGTGAAATGTTTGAAATAAGGAGAATCTGCATTAATCTTCTCCGCCTTATTTTGAAGTGCTTTAACAATAGGGCTTAACATGGGATCGTCTTCTGTCAAGAGAGCCACTAACTTGGCGTTAAATAAAATATTTAAATCCAAGGGTCGATCCGGCAACTTCAAGTTTTCACGGTATTTTTTAACGAGATTGATATGATTTGGTAAAAGTTTGAATTCTAAATCTACGGAAATACCAGAAGTGGTGGGATTAATTACAATATTCTTATTATTCATATTAACAGTATCTACAATTTTTTTATCTACAGGTGAATTAATTAGGCTACAATTAAGAATTAAAAAATAAAGAAATGCGGAATTTGAAATGGAAATAATTAAAGTATTTGTGTTGGAATAATCCGTTGGAATACAATTTGATGTACAAAATTCTGTTCTTCTGTGATTGAATGAGCAAATTGGAAAAGACGAGTTAATAAGTTTTAGTACTGCTGCTATTAGGTAATTACGTAATAAGACGTAATCGGAGTTTTCCAGATTGTGACCAATGGCTGAGCAGGTAGTTCTTAGTTTCTCCGACGGATTTAATGATTTATTAATCTTATTAATGTTTGCTACTACGAATTCTTCGTCGTAATGTGATGTTGGGAGGGCTTTTCCGGATGGAATTCTAGAAATAAGATCAGTGAAGCCCATGTCTTTTCCTGCGATAAGTTTGATTGAGAAATTAAAAGGTAATAATCTGTCTACCCATCTTGTTAATCTACTGTGGTAGGTTTTATTTCCGTGGTTTGGTGAAAGAGCGGATAATAGGGCCTTGTGATCAGTGATTATTTCGAAATCGGAGCCGTAAAGGTAATTTTTATAATGCTCAACAGCCCAAACAACCCCTAGAAGTTCAAGTTCGTTAGTAGAGTATTTAGACTCGTGAGGATTTAAAAAACGTGACGCGAATGAGATTGTTTTCCAATCGTTCCCATGGAGTTGTTCCAGCGAGGCTCCAAGTCCATTGTGTGATGCGTCTGTTTTCACTCTAGTTTTTCGTTTTACGTCGAAATGTGTATTCTCTGTTAAGTTTACGATTTCTTCTTTTATTCTTTCAAACGCTTTTGTATGATCATCGTTCCATTGGAATATTGATTTCTTATTTAGGAGCGGTCGGAGTGGGCTTCCTAAGGATGCAAGGTTTGGGACAAATTTAATGTATTGGTTTATAGAACCAAAAAATGATCGTAATTCTTTCAGATTCTTCGGTACAGGTAGGTCTTTGATAGCTTTCGATTTGTCGAATAACGGGGTAACTCCTGATTTAGAGATTTTAAATCCCAACCATTCTATTTCTTTTTGAAAGAATTTACATTTTGACCATTTTACGGCAAAGTTGTATTCGTCGAGGGTCGATAAAATTTTTAATACAATATTCTTGTGGTCTAAGAATGTTCCTTTGGAAGAGATTAAAATGTCGTCCAAGTAACAATTGGTAAATGGGATTGAACCTAACGTAGAGTCCATTACTCTTTGAAATTCGTTGGGCATATCCCCTAAGCCGTAAAAACCAGTTAAAAATTGGTAAGTACCCGTAATGTCACCGCCCACAATACTGAAGTTACATTGGTTACTAGTAAATTTGTCTGATGCTAATTGACTGTATGCATTTTTTAAGTCTAAGTTAGTAAACCACACTTCTCCAACGGAATCATTAGTAATTTGTGCCGCGACGTTGTCTACAAGTTCGTGGATGTTTGGCATTTGATATTTGTTCTTGTAAATCTGTTTGTTTGTGAACTTGGAATCTAACGCCAGTTTGATGGATTTGTCTTTTTTGCAAGTGATGACTATTGGGCTAATAAATCTGTCTTCGTCGCAATTTTCTAATTTTTTAATATGTCCCTCTGCTTTTAATCTATTGAGTTCTGTTTTTACCGCATCCAGTAAATGGAGGGGAACTCGTCTTCCTTTTAGTTGAATTGGTTTTAATGGTTCGTGAAAATGGGTAATTTTCATTTGATTTTTAATTTTTCCAATCCGAAGGAATAAATTTTTAAATGACTTTGATATATTAAGGATTTCCCTATCTTGGTTTGTTTGGGAAATGGAATTTACTGACTTACACTGCTTGTTGGTCTGGAAGTGTGGAAAATGTTTCTGAGAGACCTCTATTCCCACTTTTGGAAGGTTGTCGTTTCCTAAGATATTCCTTTCATGTCCTTCGGTTAAGAAGAATTGACAGTCGTTGTCTGACCAACCATTTGAGAATATCGGAATCTTCACCTTTCCAGTGATGTTTATGGCATTATCCGTGAATCCACAGTAAAGGTCTCTGGTTGTCTTATCCACCGGATAAATTTTCAAGTATGGATCACGTAATTTCAATTCGTGAAGTACGTTTTTCTTAAGAAAGCTCACCGGGCTAGCTGAATCCACTTGAATGTTTAAAATTACTTGGTTTTCTTTTCCGAGTCCGATGTTTAATAATTTCTTCAGTTCCTTTCCGTCGTTATCAAAAATTGTAGTTACATTTAGTACAGAGTAATTGTCGTTTTCACTTTGTCCAGATTCCGACCATGCGTTTATGACGCCGCAACATTCTCTATCCGTGTGGTCGGTATTTACATCCGGGAAATCCGACGGATTAAAATCTGTATTATCTACAATTTGAGTATTTACAATGTTTACATTTTTACGTCGAGATCTACAAAGTCTGGTGAAATGACCTTTGAATTTACAAGAAGTACAAGTTGTGTCCTTTGCTGGGCAAACTGCTAAGTGTCCTTTTGAGAATGAACCGCCACACTTCATACAGCTGTTACTTCTTTCGATGTTGAGAGTTGGTTCTCTTTTGACGTTAAAATGGTTGTTTGGTTTATGTACAGATGATCCGTTGGATTTAAAATTATTAGTTAACTTCAAGTGATTTAAAATTTGTTTTTTCATCGATGAGTGCTACGTTTAGTGCTTCGCGTGGAGGGAGGGTTTCTGTTAATAATTTCCTTTGTATATCGTAGTTTTTCATATTATTTATGAAAGTATCTCTTATCCACTCTTCTTCTCCTGCGGATATGTCGCACTTTTTCGCCATTTCAGCTAAGGCACCCCAAAATTGTTCGAGGGATTCTCTGTCGCGTTGTTTTCTATTTAACAGTTTATGTCGTTCAAATGTGACATTTGATTTTCTTACGAAAGCAATCGCTAAAAACTCCCAGAATTCTTTAAAAGAAATTTGTAAGACTTTCACCTTGGTAAATTTCTGTCCGAAGATCCTTTTTCCTTAAACCCAATGCCAGATATAAGACCGAACGTAATTTCTTGTCTGCTTCTTCTATTCGCATTCCGTTAAATTTCTTAGTTTCTGTTTTTATCGAAGCTGTTTCTTCTTCGTCATATCTTCTTTGTTCTTGGGTATTTCTCTCCAATCTCAAGCGTCTTTGGGCGTCTGTTTCACCGTCCGGTGAGTTTTCCAAATTTGGTGGTAGTGGATGTTGTCTCTCCGACGGATTGAGTAGATTTTCTATATCTATGTTTTCTTTAGCTATAATTGCTAATTGAAACAGATCACTCCAATCTTCCCAGGGGATGGGTGGGTCTACCGTATGGTTTTGCCAAAAGGGAGGTATTCCTCTCACGTTAGATTCGTTAGATGACTGCGCCATGATAAAATGTTACTTTGTTGTAGCTAATTCTAAGTTAAAACTATTAAAAAGAATAAGAATTAAGATGAATTAGTCGGTAAGTTAAAACATTAAAACAAAACAATGAGAGATCATTCTCTCCGCCGGAGAGAATGGCTAGTGAAGGTCATAACTAAGTGACCGGTTAATTAAATAAGTATGTTTAGCAATAATTGCAAAACCTGATGTAAAATCACAACACACGGCAATTTGCATGACAGAAATTTTGTAAAATTGTGTTCAGCGCACTCAATTTCAAATTTTCACACACTTTATGTCTTAGTAATAGTCACCAGACGAAAACGGTTGGCACGCCTGGAAAAGCAAAACCATCGCTCGCCACTCCAGTGACGAAAGCAGTGGTTGTTATCAACTAAGGGTAGTAACTGCTTATCCCGCTCAACCACCAGTCTCGAATCTGTCCAGCTTAGACAGTCGCCGACCTGGAAAAATCAAGATATTCGAAACCCTAAATTATTCACGGGGCAGAAGAAAAAGTATAGCTTTAAAATTTTAGATGACAATTTTGACACTTTTCATCAAATTTGTTGCGAACCATCTATCATGATAATTTTCAGAACCAACTAGCGCGTCAATCGCACCTCCGGTGCTACAAAACCAAGTCTTCAGAAAACAGACAAACCAAAAATCTTAAAAAAAAAATATTTGAGCAGTCATACTTGGACTCTAGATTTCCAACCCCTCAACGTACCCTGACAGCAAACCACTATAAGGTTGAGAAATTGAAGTTCCGTTAATTTTTTTACATCTGTTTTTTTGAAAAAAAAAATGAAAAAATCATGAAAAATGCAATTTCTCGAAAACCAAAAAGACTTGAGCAGTCATACTTGGACGCCAGATTTGCAACCACTAAATGAACCCTGACAAAACCCCACTCTAGGGATGAGAAATTCAAAATCGGTAGGTTTTTTATATCTTAACTTTTTGACAAAAAAAATTGAAAAAATCATAAAAAACACCATGTCGATAAACCAAAAGAACTTGAGCAGTCATAATTGGACGCCAGATTTGCCACCCCTGAATATACCCTGACATCACCCCACGATAAATTTGAGAAATTGAAGTTCGGTTATTTTTTTTTTATATGTTTTTTAACAAAAAAATGAAAAAAAAAAATCATAGAAAACGCAACTTCTCGAAAACCAAAATGATTTGAGCAGTCATTATTGGACTCCAGATTTGCAGCCCCTAAATGTACCCCGGCAGCACCCCCTTTAGGGTTGAGAAATTGAAAATCGGTTATTTTTCTTATATCTGTTTTTTAACAAAAAAATGGAAAAAAATCGTAGAAAACGCAACTTCTCGAAAACCAAAAGGATTTGAGCAGTCATACCGGGACTCATGATTTGCCACCCCTGATTTTACCCTGACAGCACCCCACTATAGGGTTGAGAAATTCAAAGTCTAGGTTTTTTTATATCTTAACTTTTTGACAAAAAAAAATTGAAAAAATCATAAAAAAACGCCATATGTCGAGAACCAAAAGAACTTGAACAGTCATACTTGGACGCCAGATTTGCCATTCCTGAATTTACCTTGACAGCATCCCACGATAAATTTGATAAATTGAAGTTCGATTATTTTTTTTATATCTGTTTAGATGAAAATAACAAAATCGAAAAGCTAAAAAACAATTCGTGAAAAAAATGAAAAGAATTTCAGAAAAACGGGCAGTCGAAAAACACAACCTTCAGGCTGAAAAAAAAAACTTTTTAGCGAAAAAAACCTATACAACATAAGCCGAAACTATTCAGGCCGCACAAAGCTTTTTAGCAAAAAACGAAAGGAAAACCAAGGAAAATATACAACGTCAGGGCCATCACTCTTAAAAATTACAAGAGTAAATTAAAAACACTCGCATCTACAATAAATAATGCTGATGGCACAATGAAATTCCCCAATTAAGCTGACAACATAAGCAGACAAACGAAAGACCGACAGTTTAATTTTTCCCGAAAAACATTTTAATTGCATACACATTGAAAAAAATGAGTAGTTATCTGAAGCGAACTCCAGAAAATAGGGTACAAAGACAACAGCATTAGCTCTAGGCTAAGTCGCAAGCAGTCTCGAAGTTGCTGAATTTCACTAATAAGGCAACTTCACATTCCCTTAAAATATGTACGAAAATTTTTTTACGGAAAAAAATGTCTAGTTCCCGATTACAAGACACTTGCTCTCGAAAGTCTAATTATTGCACTGTTGCTTGAAATAAATAGCTTTTTTCTGTTCATTGTCGAATGTCAAAGAACATGCTACTAAATACCGCAAAGGTGCCCTAAAAGTTGCCCTAACGCCTACTATTACGACGCCTGCTAAAGCTCGTGAGTTTCATCAACCTATTCTAAACAGAGTATACAAAAGTCCATCTTAAGTATGGTGCGAAAAAATGCATTAAATTTAGCAATTTTCTAAAAAAAGGGCATCTGAGTAAACAGAAATCAAGGCGAAAGCCATGCAGCCGCAAAAAACCGCAGATTTTTTATAGGTCTTCCCAATTATTTCAAATCTTTATAGACATATTCGTACGCATAATATGAGATGAGAAAGTGGTAGTACACTAACTTGTTGAGAAATTGAGCAAGTCAGTTCGCCACCTACGTCTACGTCAAATTTTTGACAAAGTTTTCAACCAAAAAAGTCTAGCACCCGATTACTAAACACTTGCTATCGCGAGTCAAAAGACTTGATTTAATGATCAACGGGGCCAAAAAACTATCTGAAAATCATTAGCCATACTGCAGGCAACCATCCTGGTTTAATTTGTTGAAGCTCTCATTTTCAAGTCAATCAGCAAGACAATCCCCTAGCCCCACTTCAATACCATTCACTTTATCATTAAGTCTTTGATACCCCAGTTACCCGAGCTCGTCTGCACCTCCTGGTATTTAGATCACAAAGCCAACAACCTCTCTCAAGCTTTCCTTAGCTATAATTTCGGATTTTTCTGGAGCTCAGCGTTGATAAAAGCGATTTCTGGTCTACAAAGTCAAACCTGAACCTCAGTCTTCTCCAAAAATCAAAGGCTAGAACTCTGGCCTGAAGGACCTCGACGCCTCCATTCTCCAAAACCTCGGAGCTTTCAGCGGATGCCCTTCAAGCGAGTAGAAAATTCGCTAAAACATCGGCAAAATGAATTCCAGCTGCAGCTTATTCGCTCAATTCTACCGGCCTGATTATCTTGAGCCTTAACATGTTTAGCTAATTCATTTATAAACATCTCAAGGATATCTTCCTCGCTGTTTATATTGCGTTTGAATTTATTTTTTTGTCAAAAATATAGCCAACAGACAGTTGGAAGAGTCAATGAACTCAAGGAGGCAGAGAAAAAAATGATTGAAACAAATGAAAGATGTATGAACTGTTTAAATATACAATTAACCCAATTTGAGAAAACTGGATCAAAATAGTTTTTTTTTTCATTCCGCTGTGAATTCTAAAAAAAAAAAAACATTTTTGAAAGTAGTCATTTACGTTTTTTTGCGCGATTAGTTAATCCAGAGCTGCATTTCCCTTCCATTTAGCAAATTAATGTAAATTTTACACCCGACCAATATGCGTCCTCCATACGCTCAATAACGCTTTAAAAAGTTTCGAGTTTATAGAGCAAATTACAGTAACTTTTTAGCATAAGAACTTTTCTCCACGATTGAAACTAATGGTCAATCTCTTTTTTGTGCGCCATATTAACCATTGTTATCGGATACCGTAATCTACATTGCATTTGTGAAATTAATTGAAATTGCAAAAATAAAAAAAAATGAACGAGCGTAACACAGAGGCGAAGCGGAGCTTCGCACCACTTGCGATACAACGCAAAAATAAAAAACATCACAAGTTCATTTCAACACGAAGTCGAAAAAAAATATATGAAAAAACCTAAGTGAACCAAAGTTTTCGTACGTCTCGATTAAAGACAACTAGAGGCCCATATAAAACTGGCGGTACGCGTTTGTTAACTTTCGGCATGCGGGACGAAATGCGTTATATCAAAAATTGGACTGTGCCCACTACCTTATCTGTTCATCTATTGAAATAAGTCAAAGAGAGAAAATTTTTGAGATTTTCCAAATGACAACATTTCTCTTACGAAAAATGATTCACTATGTCTGCAGGAAAAATTATCGTAAACAGTTCTTTTGATTATAGTTTTCATCTCACATTTGATTGGTACTTTTTCAGAAAATTCAAAAAGTTTCTAAAAAACGTTCAAAATTTCAAAAACTTCCCGAAATCTACAACTTTTTTCTGAAAAATGCAGATGGTGGCCGAGAAAGTAGCCAAGATCCCCAAAAGCGGGTTTCTGGATAAATCACTTAAACTGAAATTTGGCTCGGTAGTTTTCGAGTAAAGTCAAAGATCCCAAAAAAGTCAAAATTTCCAAGCTTTGAGTAGTGTAAAGGACATGATTTTTTTCTTAAAGAAATTGTGCGTAGTGCAATTATAAACTATCTTTTCAAAAAACTGTTGTTTCAATGGAAAACAATATAAAGAAAAAATAACGAGAAAAAAAATAAAAAAAATTTCGAAAGCGTCACAAAAAAAAATAATTCTGAAGCGTCTCGGAAAAAAAGCAAAATAAAAAACCTAACCACATACATATTCATAATATCTGTCTTTATCAAAAAAGAATTCTAGGCAAACAAACAGACCAGGCAAATTAATTAATTTTCGGATAACGAAGCTAAAACAAAGCCGACAATCTTTGAGCAGACACCAGCTGATCCGAAAAAAATGATTTATAAAAAATATTTTTAAGTTTCAAGTCTCCTAAAATTAAATGAAGGACACTTGCAACTACCAAGTTACTTGCTTACAGCACTAGAAAAATCTGTCACACTACAATGAAGAACACTTGCATCTACCAAGTTACTTGCCAATGCTACATATCGTGATTATAGCCAAAGTGCCACCAAAGAAAACACATTTAATAAGATAACTCTTATTTGCGAGTTACTTGCCAATGCTACATATCGTAATTATAGCCAAAGTGCCACCAAAGAAAACACATTTAATAAGATAACTCTTATTTGCGAGTTACTTGCCAATGCTACATATCGTAATTATAGCCAAAGTGCCACCAAAGAAAACACATTTAATAAGATAACTCTTATATACGAGTTACTTGCCAATGCTACATATCGTAATTATAGCCAAAGTGCCACCAAAGAAAACACATTTAATAAGATAACTCTTATTTGCGAGATACTTGCCAATGCTACATATCGTAATTATAGCCAAAGTGCCATCAAAGAAAACACATTTATTAAGATAACTCTTATTTGCGAGTTACTTGCCAATGCTACATATCGTAATTATAGCCAAAGTGCCACCAAAGAAAACACATTTAATAAGATAACTCTTATTTGCGAGTTACTTGCCAATGCTACATATCGTAATTATAGCCAAAGTGCCAACAAAG